CCTCCTAGCAGTGCTATAGGCTAAGATGAGTAGTTATAAGCATTCCTATTTTACCTATGAGGAAACTGAGGCCCCCAAAATAGGAGAAACAATGGATGCCTTGCTCAAGGTCACTGGAAGCAGCAGTATATTGTGCAAGCCTTGTGACTGACGGTAGCCTGACTGACACATTTACAGTGAGGTAGCCCTGGGCAAGTTAGAGAAACACAGAAGCTAAAATTTGGAAGGTGCCTTGTAGGTTGTATAACCCAACTCCCATCTGACCAAGAACGTTTCACAATATGTGGGAATGATCATTTAGCTACCTTTGAAGGTTTCCAGCGAAACGAATACAATCGCCCAACAGGCAGGCCCTTCCACTATTGCTTAGTTCAACTCAACCTTTTTAACAAGGGCCTATATACTATGTGCTAGGTGCTGGGGAGTCAAAAACAAAAAATGGGAACCCCCCTGTCTTCAAGAAGATTACAGTCAACTGGAAGAATACAACATGTAGAAAGGTAAATGAAGAGGGTAATTCAAGCAACACCAGGGAGTGAGTGCCATTTACTTGTTTCAGATAATTCTAATTGATAGATTATCTTCTAAGCCTGTTCCCTCATTTTTTTTTAATGGAGAAAACACTTCTTACCTACTTTACAGGGTTGCTGTGGGGAAAGTGCTTTGCAGATATTAGTGACGTGAAATGTCACATAAATGACCACAACCCTTACTCCAACTATTACTCCCAAACCCCCAGATGACACTGCATGGGAAGGTGAGCCCTTTCCAATTTAGAGTAGACATAATTCTTCAGTCCTCCTTTCCCCTACCCCACCCAGCCATAGGCTCCCCTTATCTTCAGGCCCCTAACTTTAATTCAATTACATTTGATGATGATTTACTGGGTGTCTCCTGTGCACCCGTCCTGGTGCTAGGTGCTGTGGTTGATACAGAAGTATAAAATTGAAGAGCTCAGGTAGGTTAAGGAGGAGATGCACACAGAAGGAAAACAAAGACTTAGTAAACGCAAGAGTTTAAGAATTCAGAGAATGGAGAAATCAGGGTAGGTAGGAATAGCCAGGGAAGGGTTCAAATATTGTCTCTACAATAATAGTTGGAGTACCTTGGGTCTTAGTTTCCTCATCTTTAAAAAGAGAGGTGGGAGTTAAGTGATTTTTAGTTCTCTTCTAGATCTATAGAGTTATGCTCATGCATAACAAGCAAAGGAAATGACTACGAGCAAAGGTATGTCTTGGGCAGTTCATTTACTTTCCCCAAGCCTGATTCCTCATCTGTAAAAGGAGATTTCCAGATTCTGTCAATCTGTGATCCTATGATGACATCTGAGCGCTCTCACACCTCTAACTCTATGATCCTGTACAAGTGGGAAGGAGCCAAGTGCAATGGGAAGAACTGGAGATGAGAGAATGGGTGAGGCAGATCTGAAGAATCAGTTCATGGAAGAGTTGGAATGTCAACAACTGAACTTATGTGCCCTCCCCTAGGGTAAGATGACTATCGATTCCTTCATAGGTGGAAATCACCAGCCTCAGGATCAGCTTCCTCTGCTCCTTCCAGCCCTCTGGAAAAAGAACCTCAAGAGCAAAGTGATGTTCGGTGTCTTCATGGAACAAGCTCCAAAGAAGCACTATTTCCCCGAGAAGGAGGTACTTGGCAAGGCTTGCCTTTGAGAAGTACATGTCCCCGGTGTGAGATTGTGAGTTGCAGGCAATGTGACACCCTGCACTCTGAACGAGACTTCATTGCTCACAGTGTCCTGGAGCATTATGACCAGGCTGGGAGCCTGGGAGCTGGTCAGTTGCACAGGGGTCATCAGAGGAGGAAGTGGAATTGATGGTGGGGATCTCATCCACAAAACTGCCAAATGAGTGAAATCGTCTTGATTAGCTTCTGCCTCCTGTTTCCCCATCTTTGTATTGTCCAGCCTCCCTCTCTCAAAGAAAATCTAATAATAAAGTAATTATGCGTATGTTAGGACTTGACCAGTTGACTTTTCCCAGAGGGGTATTTTCATTTAACAAAGGAAGTTGCTTTAATCTAAAGGAATACATATTTAATGGTAGAATTTCAGGCAGTATGACAAGCAATGGGGTAGCTGGGGCCTGCCCGAAGACACACCAGGGAGGAAATTACCTATTTCTAGGGCCAGCCATGTCACATATAAATCCCTTTAGAGTTTCTGATTTATTCCAATGCTATTTTCCATGGGATCTTGCATCTTAGGAAGAACAACCTAGCACTGTGTACTGCTGGCAGATGAACCATTCATTAACATGACATGCTATTTACACTTTATTCTGGCCACATAGGTGGCAAATATCCTTTGCCTAATAGGACTTGATTTGAAAGAACTGAATGCTTTGCTTAGTACTCACAAAAAAACTTGGGCAAGTAGGTAAGGCAGGTATTCCCTACATTTTACATAGAAGGAAATTTAGCTCATATAAGTTGTGATTTGCTTACATACCTACACAGTAGCAGAGCTCAGGGGCACACCAGGCCTTCTAATTCCTAGTAGAGTTCTTTTTAAAAAGTGTGTATGTGGTGTACATGCACACACACATAATCAACTGTGAACTTACTAGGTGGGTTTTGTTTAACATGTATTAAATATAGTAACAAAAATGCCCTGCTCATCTGTCCCTTTTCTGCACCTCTGCTTTAAAAAAGTTTGAGTGCTTTTAAAATGCACCAAAATGACTTGTTTAATGCTTAATGCCCAACTCCTAACTGGTCATTTATGTGGGTTATGAGTAGTGATGAATGCTTCTTGCTCTATACCCTCTGACCAATGAAGGAACCTTCCTGTTCTCTGGACCCCAACCCTTTTCCTTCCTACTTAATTTCCCTATTGGGTAACCACATGAAGGAACGAGAACTACAGACAATGCAAGATATTTAAAAATCAGATTCCTTAGTTCCTTAGTGGTGGGTTTTTCCCACAAAATGTTAAAGCTCAGAGGAAGTGTTCACCCACACTGATGAAAATCACACCTTCCTGAATTATTGAAGTAAAAAACTCTGAAGAGGTTTGTAAAAATTACAGAAAATCAGTATGTGCAATTTATAGCACAGGATAACGAACAAACACTTATTACTCAAAAGAAACATACCACTAAACAACACAAGTGTCAGAAATGAAAGGAAGCCTGTTTTTCCAGTCAGTCCCATAATTTTTTTTCCCTTCTTTTCTTTCTAGTTATCCTCAAGGGAACCAGGTATACACAGATAACACGTACTTGATCCGAAGCTTGCCTTCTAACTTTTTCCAAGTAGTATATTACGGCCAACTACAGTAAGGGCTTCCCTTAGAGCAGGCCCTATCATCTTGACATTAGGAAGGATAACTAGTGATTTGGAAAACATCACTTTTCATTAATATGATTTCTTCAGGCTTTGGTTTCTTTCATATACATATACACATAGATATATACATACATATACATATATATATACATATACTTATATGCATATATAAACATAAATAACATTTCATTCTTGATTTTTAGTATACCCAGGGAAGAGGACCCAGAAAACTATTCCACAGAAGGGTCAGAATAAACTTCCAATGGCCTGGTTGGCCCCAATAAATGGAAATATGAAGATCCTTGATGGAGCTGTACATTTTTATCTTTGCATTTTCAATGTTTAGCACAATTTCTGGCTCATAATGTATGTTTCTTTGAATTAAAATCCATTTGGGAAGGGTAATAATAAGGTTCCAAAAAAGCAATATAATTGCATCTATCTTGCCCCTTACATAGGCGACAGGGAATGATGAAGGTTGGGTATCACTGCCTTGAGTGTATGTAATGATAGTGGTTTCTGGTCCCATAGATCCTATCTAGCAATAATAACATTTCCTAAATTCTCGAAAACTGGAAAGTAATAAAGCAATGGATTACTAGTATAGGACAAAAGCTATGGGACAAGTACCTTCCACTTCGAAGGATCTCATCTTTGGATACTGCTTAGGGTGTATTCTAGACATGTTATGGGTAGAGGTATGAGGTATGCTCTGGCCTATGAAGCTTCTAGCACGAGCCCCGATAGAATCCTTTGAGTGAAAGGTGTCCCACAGCTGACTGCCCTACAGAAAGGGACCCAAGAGCCTACCCAGTCTAACTTCTGCTGAGAAATACACACAGTTCTTTAGGGTTCAGCCAGTTACTGAGGCTGCTCCAAGAGTGAGGCAAGCATGAAGTCATTCAGACTTCACAGCTTTCACTAGAGCCTACAGAAGAGTTTCACATTTACATTTATTCCTTCTCTTCCACTCTTCCCTCCAACCAACAAATGAAGTAAAGAGCTAAGCAGGAAAGTGAGAGCCAGTGTTCCTGAGAGCTATGAAAGAAGAGAAGGTGTGGCTTTGAGACAGTTCTGCTGCAGGTGGCTAAGCCAACTTTACCATTTCTGAAAAGTCACCTGTCTCTTTCTTAACCTTCACCCTGGCAATACTGACCCTGGGGAAAGAGGAATCCAAGGCCGTGCAGACTTCATTGTGTTTTGGCTTGTCCACTAATTGGTTTGGACTCTCTAAAAAGACAATGAATCTGTTCTATGAACAAAAGAAAACAATTTTTAATCAAACTTCAATGGAAAACACATTTAGTTGAAGGGTAAACATATCTTGTTAATTTCCTTCCTTACATTCCATCATCACGGAATGAAAGTGACCAGTATTGTTTGGAGAACAGGCAGCAGCTTAGATGGATCTCTCGGTGCTCACTGAAGCAACATGTTTTACACATTCAAACCAGTAGCTCCTATTGCACATATCAAAACTGCTCTCGGGGGCAGCTAGATGGCACAGCATACAGAGCACCATCCCTGGAGTCAGAAGGGCCTGAGTTCAAATCTGGCCTCAGACACTTGACACTAGCTGTGTGACCCTGGGCAAGTCATTTAACCCCAACCACCTAAGCAAAAACCAAAACAAAACAAACAAAAAAAACTGCTCTCCACTTAGCACCCTAAAAACCTGGTACCTCAGCAAGTAACTTTTTTAAAAATCCAATTTATTATGTAACTACTAAAAGCTGAACATACATTGTGCAAAAAAAATTCATGTTGTTAGAAGTTTTAATAAATACAGTAAGAACAGGTCTGAGACTGTTCATTGGCATTTTTCAAAAAATACTGAATTTCAGGTTGGGAATTTATTTCATAAATAGTTTCCTTGTCTTTTGTTGGCTTTATTTTTTGGTACAGTTGCTCAAGTATTATCCCCCATGTAGCTCACTCTTCCATACACATACAGTACATAGATCCTGTGTCAACATATGCTTCTTTAGGGAAGTGGCTGGAAGAACTGGATCAGGAAGTTAGTTACCAGAAAGGAACGTGAAGAAAAAAAGCCCTACTTTTGGCAAAAACAAAAACCCCAGGCTGAAGAAAACCAAAGGCAACATATCTGAAATATTTACGTTTTACACACACACACACACACACACACACACACACACACACACTCTCTCTCTCTCACACACGTGGGTGCATGCACTTGTGCATGCGAACACACATGTATATACACATATATTTGTGTGTACATATGAAGCACACATACACCCACAAACATGTCATATTTGCCACACCATTAGATTTTCAGCAAGTCCTGATGGAATGATACCATGGGATAGAAACATCAACAAGAAAAATCAACAGGTTTCCACAGGTTTGATTAAAAAAAAATACATCATAATCTTTAGTTTGCACAAAGACACCCTTCTTTTTAAGTCCCATTCTGAATGTAACTAGCCACTGGTCCCATAACTGATGTGTGTAAAGTCCTTGGCTGAGTTAGAATACTTTGTCACAACACAGAAAATGAATATTTACATCACTGCTTAAAAGTACCAAACTTTTTAAAAGAAGAAAACATCTAGTAGCTTTCTGCGTGCAAAGTCAGCAAGAAGTGATTATCCTGATGTTGGCAGATCTTGTGTTGGGTCTTTGTCAATCAGTCAGAAGTAGAGTGCAATCATCAAGGATCATTCGGGTTAGGTTGGGTCATTTTTTTTCCTTTTAAACTTGGTGTTCCAGGATTTTGTTCCCTTTTGTTTTTATCAATAATTTATTGTCAGGGCAGTGTTCACCTGTCTTTTTTAGTGCAAATATGAAATGAAAGCCAAACTAAACAAACCAAACCAAATCAGTAACAACAGCAAAAGAACAACAAAAAACACGTGCAGCAGAAGCTGGCGCTCGTTAAGACCGGTAATCTTTCCTCATGGTGTGCGCCATCCAGTTTACTTTAGTAGTCCAACTCTCCCTGAGCGCCTCATCAAATTTCTGCTTAAACTGCTTTAGTGCTTCTTCCTCACTCTTCCCCAAGGCCAAAGAGTCCTAAAGACCAAAAATAAATAGGTAAATGAACGCCTGCATGAATGAATCAATTCTGACTTGACACCTATGATAACATTGTGTACATACACTACATCAACAATTCAACTCAATGCACCTCCTATGAGCACGGCAAGCAGCATTGTGCTAGGAGCTATTAAAACTTAAAACTTCACCAAGACTTTGGGGACATCCTGTAAAAGATGAAGGCTCTGCTTTCAAGGAACATGCTATCTAGTAGCACTTTCTAAGAGTCTGTACAAATAAGCTCCTTTTTAAAGCCCAAGTTATAAGTGATATTTATAGGGCAGAAGCAACAAGAAAAATCTAAGGTTAAGTTGGAAACTAACCCCTTATTAAATGCTATTTAACGAAAACGTCCATTAGAACCTGTGACTACTGTAGTTTGTATGCTTCCTCTGATCGATATGTCTTTATATGTATAAATAAAATATGAATTAACTGAAGATGTGGTGAGCAACAATAACATCCTAGGTGAAAGGCTGATAACCTTACTTACTTTTTTTTTTTTTTGGTGAGGCAATTGGGATTAAGTGACTTGCCCAGAGTCACACAGCTAGTGTTATGTTGTCTGAGGCCACATTTGAACTCGGGTTCTCCTAACTTCATGGCTGGTGCTCTATCCACTGTGCTATATAGCTGCCCTGGCTGATAACTTTTCAAAAGTAGATGCCAGACTGTTGACTCCTCTTTGTATGAGTGGGGAGGAAATTGAAGAGAGATAACTTTGGAGTCTGTAGATAGCCGCAGAACAGCAATAAAACACCTGAGCCAGAACACAAAGAATGACAGTGGGATAAAGAAAGGGCCAGGGGGAGGAATGTCAAAGAGGGCCCATCCACAGGTCCACTGAAAACCATCCTAACTGTTTCTGCTGGCTGCTTGACGCTTGGCCTAGACTCTTGTAAACAAAAAAGAGTCTGTGTCTGTTTTGGTGTTTTCCTACAGAGACATTTTGGTGATAAACCAACCTCCAGTTCCATTGCATCTTAATAGGAAGGCTACATTTTCAGCTGTGCTCAAATTAGAGCCTATAACCCAAGACAAACTGAATATATATATATATATATATATATATATACATACACATACACATATATATATACATACACATACACATATATATATACATACACATGTATGTATGTGTGTATTTTGTATGTACATGTATATATATATGTGTGTGTGCACACACACACACATATCACCTTTAATGTCCATCAGAAGGCAATGGATTGAAAAAAGAAACAAAGTACTCAGAATTGATTCATTTCCAAGGTATTAAATAAATACTTAAATAAAGTCTTATGGTTTTGCCTCAGGTATGTACTATACATATGTATTTGATTAACTGTATTAAAGTTGTTTGCCAGAAGCAGGCAGGGAAATGACCCATTAAGACCCAGGTACAACACTGGTGAGGAAGCATCTGCTAATTGCAGGGGAAGAAAACTGAGTTCAAGGGCGATGATTAACTAACTACAGGACACTTCAGGGGATGGAATGGAGATGCTATAGCAAAATTCATAGGGAATATGAAACTAGCCAATGCAATTTTCTAGTGGCAGAATGAGGTTCAGTATAGTCAGGTGCACTTGAGAATTGTGAGGGCTCTCTGAAAGCATAAGCAGATGTGAAGACAATGCCTTGGTATATCTTGGGTTTCCCCTTCTTGTGCCTAGGTTTCTTGTGCCTCTACAGAGACCCTTGGGGTTCAAGCGGTTCTCAGGAAAATATGTTTCAGGTTTGTCTTCTTGGAAGCCCCTGGAATGTGTTTTGGGGGATGCCAAAGGATGATGCAGTGGCAGTAGTGGTAGCATGGATAGTGTACTTTCTCTCTCTCTCTCTCTCTCTCTCTCTCTCTCTCTCTCTCTCTCTCTTTTAAAGTTAGGCAATAGGGTTAAGTGACTTGCCCAGGGTCAAACAGCTAATGAGTGTTATATGTCTGAGACTGGATTTGAACTCAGGTCTTCCTGACTCCAAGGCCGGTGCTGTATCCACTGAGCCACCTTGCTGCCCCGGATAGTGTACTTCTCAAAAGAAATCAGTCCATGCAAGAACAAATATCTCTTCAGGCTCATGTGCACATCTTAAGCATTCAAAGCTGTTGGGATTCCCCTTTGCCCAGAGGTTTTGCCTCTGACAGCATTTAAAGGCAGGAGTAACTTCTAACTAATTTACTTATTATGGAATTTAGCTAATAACCATAACCAGAATGGTTAGTAAACAATATAATACAGAAAACGATGATAAATGAGCTTCAATGGAGGGAAGGGTTAGCTTTTAATTATCTACCTGTTTCCAAAAATACTCCAATAACTCAAGTTCTTTGACTTTTTTGAATGATAAGATTTTTCTAGTTTAAACTTATAAGCGCATGATCTTCCTAGCAAGAGTTTAGAAAAACATAATGAAGTTCATGATTATGAGAAGGTCTTGAAATGTTATGCTTCTATCAGTATTTTAATTTAAATGGAAATTTGAATCAATACCTGACATCCATTCAAACCACAAGCATGTATTAAGTGCCTACTCTGTTCCAGGGAACAACATAATAAAATTGCTACCCTCTAGTAGTTTGCATCCTACTGGTAAAAGTCAACATCAACACAGAAAAAAAAGTATAACATAATTTGTAGAGGGACAGGCTGTAAGCACTCACAGAAAGAGGAAAAGTTTTGTAGTAAGAGGTAGAAACAGTGATGAGCTATGGAAGATGCTCAAAAGGGTCAGCAGTAGCAGTGAGGGGGTGGGGAGTGTCAGGAAGGCAGGAGAGTCTGTGAAAAGAACCTGTGGTGGTTAGGAAGGAAAGGTTTGGCAAAATGCAAATAGGTCAGCCTGGCTGGAACTGAGTGTGTCAAGGGAAGTTGGAAAGTAAATCTGGAAAGGAAGGCTGGAAGGCAATCTGTGAAAGGTTTTAGATGCTACTCTGACAAATTTGTATTTTACCTAAGAGGTAAATTATTAGGCGATTCTGCCTAATAATCTGGAATATCTTGGAAAAATAGTAACAATATGACACAGGTAACTGTAGCTAATGTTAAGACTGCAATCCAAGTGGTCTAGTAAATAAGACAAAGAGACTTAACTACACGTTTTGATAGGTAAGTGTATAATGTAGCATCTTCAAAGCCACTTCGGAGAAATACAACATCCTTCCAAAAGTTTAGTTTCACCAAATGTCATAAAAATACTTTTTTTTAAGGTTTAATTCAATTTTATTTTATTTTCAGCTCCAAATTCTTTCCCTCTCTTCCCTCTATCCCCTCCATTGGGAAGGCAAAAAAAAAAAGCTGCTAAAAATATGTATACACATGCAAACCAATGTCCACATCTGCCATATTCCAAGGGGAAAAAAAGCAAGAAATAGAAGAAAACACGCTTCAATGTGCTCTTTAAGTCCATCAGTTCTTTATCTGGAGGTAGATAGCATGTTTTACCATGAGTCTTTTGTAATTATGGTTGGTCATTGTGTTGTTCAGAGTTACTAAGTCTTTCAAAGTTGATTATCTATATATTGCTTTTGCTGTATAAATTGTTCTGATTCTGCTCATTTCATTTTGTATCAGTGCATATAGGTCTTCCTAGGTTTTTCTGAAACTATCTCTATCATTTCTTACAGCACAACAGTATTCTATCACATTCACATACCATGACTTGTTCAGCCATTCCCCCAATAGAAGGGGGAGCCCCTCAGAATTTCCAATTCTTTGCTACCACAAAAAGAGGTGCTATAAATATTTTTGTACATGGGCCCTTTTCTGCTTTCTTTGATCCCCCTGGAACATGGACCTGGTAGCAGTATTGTTGAGTCAAAGCATATATATAGTTTATTAGCTTTTAGGTCACAGCAAAATGTTTCTGAAAAGCCACTCCTTACCACCCAAAGCCATACAGCATTTCCTACCTTGGGATATTCTGGTAATTAGCTACTACAACTGATGTCCAGTCAAGACTTAGCAACGGAATTCTGTACATGTACAAAGTCAAATTCTTACCTTAAGATACTGTATATCCTTAACTGAGGTGAGCTCAGGAAGCCCTGCAGTCAACATCAGGGCAAACAGAGTGATAAAGAGATTCCCATGCCTTCGTAAAATCAGGTAAGCCTCTTCACAACACTTACGGAACCTTCAGGTAGCATAGCAATTCACATGGTGTGGCAAAGGAGAGACAAAGCATGTTTCAGAAAAGAACTTTGATGAATTCTTGGTTTTCTAATACACTATAAATTACTATGCTATACTTTCATTAGAAACTTTCACTTCTGACAGATGAAAAAAATCCACTCAACTACCAGCTAAATAAATCAGTCTAATGACCATGCATGTATTTACATGTTTTTCTCTAAATTGAAATTTTATATGTGGCATTCAGGTAGCACAATAGATAGAGAGCTACATCTAGAGTCAGGAAGGCCTGAACTGAAATCCACCTTCAGAGTTGGGTAAGTCACTTAACTTGTTTGCCTCTGTTTTCCTCAATTGTAAAATGGGGATAATAAAAGCACCTAGCTCCCAGGATCAAATGAGAATCAAGTAGAATAATATTTGCAAAGTGCTAAGCATAGTGCTGGGCACATTCCAAGTACTTTATAACTGCAAGCTGATATTACTGTTATTATTAACAATGATAACAGACATTACAATGAGTATAGCAGGACTGCTGAGTTTGGTACTTAGACTTGAGTGGATAACAATACTTGGTTTCTTTACCTGCTGAAGGGTTCTGCATACTGTGTTACAAGGGGGCTTTACTAAAGCCATGTCTTTTTTATTTTTAATTTTTTATTATGAACTTAATCACTATAATCATGACAACACTGAGGACTGAATAGGAAACCTGTGGACTTCTATTTCATAGGGCTTTGTTTTGTTTTGTTTTTTTAAAGTACTTATTAGGGGGGCATGTAGGCGGCACAGTGGATAGAGCACTGGCCCTGGAGTCAGGAGGATCTGACTTCAAATCTGCCCTCAGACACACAATATTCACTAGCTGTATGACTCTGGGCAAGTCATTTAATTGCCTCACCAAAAAAAAAAGTATTTATTAAATTTAACAGTAAGAAATAAAGCTCCTGTTCGTGTTCCCTTCTGAACTTTTGTTTTTTCCTGTGTATTTTTTAAATGTTTAATTCATGATCTTTTTTGAATCACTATTATTACCCATTAATTCAACCCCCCTAGAACAAAGTCAAATTTGCAATGCTGCAATCTTCCCCAAGTGCTATACACTATGACTCAGTATTTTTTATTGCATTTTATAACAAGAACAAGTAACATCACCAACTAAGAACTAAGAACTCTTAAAAATTGCATTATTGTTTCAGTTGATTATGAATGGCTTTTGGTGGATTGCTTACATTTAAAATGCTCAAGAAGACAAAAAAAGCTGCTCTTTACTTTACCCCACTATGGATAGTTGAATTTATTAAGTCAATTCTGTGAGACATAAACACAAGAGGAGGTTTATTCAAATAAAATTCAGGTGACTTTTTTTCCCTTCTGGTTTACAGTGAACATCTGGGCCATCTCCTTAAGTCAGACTAATTAATGTAATGTTTATCTTTATATGAATTATAGAATTATAGAAGATTAGAACTATACTGAACCTTAGAGATTATCTAGTCCAACCAATTCATTTTACAGATGACACTACTGGGACACAGAGAAATGCAATTCTGGATGATCCTAGATAAGTTACAAACATCTAAATACTGGACTTTAAGTTCTGGGTTTAAGGAGTTGAATGGAAATAGTACACTCATTCACTTTCAGGCAAATGGCCTTTAAAAGATAACCTCTTCCCCAAATAGAAACACTGAATAGGAAATGCTGAATCCAGCTGGCCAGATGAGAAAGCGTTAGATGCATTTAACCTTGACATCAGGGACACACTCACCGGTTAAACTTTTCTGTGTTTCCTGTTTTTCCTTGCTGAATGACATGAATGAAATCATAGGTAAGAATGAAAGGCACTCGTTCCCGTTTAATGCCAAATTTAGACTTGAAGTTTCCAAGAATATGTCCAAAATCGATGTGGAAGAGCTAGGAAAACAAACGGAATTTCATTTTCCCAGTTACTGGACTATATTTTACTGATGTGTTTCCAATGGAAAGACTAATCTCTCAGAAGTCAGAGGCCTATGATGTGAGATGTTTCACCTCAGCTCTTTATTAAGCTGTTCATAAAACTCAGTCCATGGGTTCCCTTTCCCTTGGGAAGGAGTTTTCTTTGAACATTTCTAAATTTTAAAAAAGAAACTCCTAGGTTCTTAAAAGCAATATATATGAAATAACATGTATACAGTGGGAAGGAAAAGTATATTTTTAGTACTATGGCAACTTTCCATGTCTAGCTTTCAAGAAGCAAGACTAACTAAATTAGCAAAGGCTCTAATTCACTGGGTAGAACTATGGTTGTTGGACTCTTCAGTGACAGAAGGCATTTGTATCACTCCAAAGCTTGTTTTATCTATGAGTATATATGGCTTAATGAGAATAGATCTACTGGAAGTTTCAGATTCTACAGGCCCATCTTTTGCTTAGGGGAATCAAAACATGCCCATTTAATTTCATTAAGGCTTTTTTTTTTCCTCGTAAAGTCCTGAACCATTTTTATATCTCAGGAAATATGCTGGGAGCAGGAAATTTATGTGAAAATGATACCACACACAAAGTATTCTTACCTTATTCATTTGACTAAAAAATGAAATTGTGTACAAATATGAATCAGTGATTCACACCCAAGAAAAATTTCATGTGGAAAGGAAGATATTTCATAATGAACAATCTGGCCTAAATCATTGTTCTCAATGATGAACACAACACAGTATTCTAATGCTGAGATTGTCCATACCAAGATTTCTCAAAGTGAAAACCAGGACCCTTAAGAAGTCAAGGGAGCATTGGAAGGGGAAGAAATGGGGACTGATTACGGCTCGACATGTCTCAGCGCTGCCCTCTTCTGCCTGCTCAGATCTCATCAGCACCCCCAGTGCATGCTGACTTCATGTCCCATTATTTCTTGAGGAATCCACTCCTTCCCTGTCATTATCTCTCCTCACCTCTATCCAGACTCAATTCATGTAGATCTATATTCATTTTAAACTTCCACAACTTAAGTGGATAGACCCAGGTCATTTTAATCAAAATGTCTCAGTGACATTGCTAGAAATGAGCAGAAATCATGGCAGGTATGAGGCACATAGGCACAAGGTCTATGATGGAAGAAATTTTACCTCAGAGAAGATTTAGAATGAAAACCTAAAGCTAATAGTTGGTCAGTTTGTCTAGAATTTCTATAAGGAATGGTGTAATACACTTGGGGACATGTGATAACAGCAATAACCCAGTATTTATGGGGTTTCCACTGAAAGATGGCAGATAGCAACTTACCTGTCCAGTTTTCCTGACCATGATGTTGTCACTGTGTCTATCACCGATCCCCAGGACATAAGAAGCTACACAGTAGCCAGCACAGGAGAGTGTGAACTCTTCAATGGCTTGATCTAAGTCATCCCTAAAACAAGTCCACGAGAAACAAAAGGCACAATTAGGACACTTGTACTGTGACAGGTGCTGCTAATACAAAGAGGAAACTGAATTAAGAAGCTCAAAAAGAGAGATAAGTATGTAAATAATGATAACATCTGAGTTAGGCTTCAAAGGAAGAAAAAGTTTGAACAGATCAAAGATGGAAGAAGAGCACATACTTCAATACAAGTATGAAGAGGTCTTCCTGGCCATATCACCAGTATTTCACAGTGTAGGCAAAGGCATGGAGAAAGGAGGATAGAATGAATGTGGCTGTAATGTAGAGGACATGAAAGCAAATATTATCAAATAAGATTAGAAAAAATGCAAATGGCCTTCAATGCCTGGTTTAGTAGTTTGTACTTTATGTGGCTGGCAACACAAAACCATGTAGACAGCCATGCATTAGGGGTTTAGTGTATAGGACATATTAGGATAGGGAGAGATTATAGGCATCTGTCAGGAGGTGCTAACAATATTACAATTGATATGTATGGAACCTAATTTAAGGTAGTATCAATGGAAGTAGAAATAAAGGAATAGATATGAAAGCAATATTATACAGGTAAGATTAATAGCTTTTGGCAACTATTTGGATGTAGGAGAGGTAAGTCTCGAAGAGTAGGCCATAGTGAGGTCGAAGAAAATGACAAATGCTAGAGGGCCTGTGGAAAAATAGAGGCACTTATGCATTACTGTTGGAGTTGTGAACTGGTTAACCATTCTGGAGAACAACTTGGAACTGTCCAAAGGGCTATAACTGTGTATACCCTTTGACCCAGAAATACCACAATACCAAAAACTTCTAGTTTCTTGGATTTTGCTTTTAAAAATTATTAGACTCTAACCATGAAACCCTTAGTCAAGCTTTAGAATTTGGTCTAGACAAGGCAGAATTCATTAGTGATTCTAATAACAGCTAGCATTAAGATAGGACTTTAAGTTTTCCAAAGCACTTTGCAAATATTCATCTTATCCTCACAACAATTCTATTATTATTGCCATTTCATGGACGAGAAAACTGAGACAGAGAGATTAAGTGGCTTGCCACACAGCCAGGAAGTATCTGAGGTCACATCTGAACTCAGGCCTACCTGATTCGAAGTCTGACATACATTCTATCCTCTGTGCCACCTACCCATCTCTAATGATCATATAGATTGTAGTAAAGGTATTATAGTTCCACTGTGATCTAGTGGGATCAGTAAACATTTATGAAGCATCTACAGAGTGCCATGCACAGTACTAGACATTAGGAATACAAAGATAAGCCTGACTAAAGGACATCAATATTCTTTTCTATTCATCTTTAATACAGAATCACAGATATGAGGGCTGGATGGGACCTCAATGGCCATCTGGTCCAACCACTATTTATAAAAAATTCCCTCTACAACACACTTAACAAGAAGTGATCCAGACTGCGAGTGAAGGCATTTAAATGAAAGGACATTCAGCCATCTCCTAAAGCAGTCCCTTCCACTTCTGGTTCACTCTGCTATAAAATTATATCAATCCTAACTTTTGCCTCTATACAATGTCAATATAGTGATAAATTTTCTTCAGAGCTGTTACTGACAAAACTGTTTTAAAACCACAATGATAATCAGAAAAAAAGCATAAACTAACCCAGAATTGTATTCTTTAAGCCAATTTAGAAGAGCATCTTTATTGAAGGCAGCTGTAGCAGCAACATTACTACTATTTAGCTGGATATCGGCAATTGTTTCAGATGTACTAACAACTTCTATAAGGCCAGAGCGGTCTCCTGTTGCTAAACAACCATACGGCAGCATTCTAAAATAAAAAAAAATAAAAACACATTGATATATTTTTAGGAAACATGAGAAGATGTACATGTATTCAAATAACTTATTTTAAGGTTGGGTCAATAAAATCTTTTATTTCCCCCTTAATTATACCAAGAAATCCCAAACATGTTGGTTATACCCTCCCCCAACTTCTATTTATAATATTAGTGTCACAAGGAAAATTAGAATAGTTTTACTTTTTGTTAAGAAGTAATTCCCTCAGGAAGGCAATAGGTGGAACTATTTACTGGAATTTCCTTGATATGCTAAGCCAGCTTTATTATATAAACCCTTAACTGATTCACATGCTATCCAGGTAATGCATTACATTAGATGATCTTTACAGGTAACAGGCTATAGGCTAACAGAACAAATAAAGGGGAAATCTATTCGAGAGATTGAGAGAACAACACTATCTTCAACTTCATTTTTTTTGCAAAAAAAAAAATTGTAATCTAGATGGAAAAAATGCAGCTCATTTTCTCAATGTTCTAAAGTCAGAAGCAAGTCAGCCATAAGAAGCTTTGTAAAATGAAACTTTTACTCTTCTACCCAAAATAAATGAAAGTCCATATTGGGATGATTAACTCTAGAAAAACAGCAAAGGCATATGTATGCCATTGAGTGCACAAAATTGTTACTCCTTCACCCAAAGCAGAGCCCCGACTAGATACTCCCAGTAGACCCTGCTCTCCTTGAATGTGGCCCCTGCTTGTCATATCTACCTTTTATGTCCAGTTGCAGACATAATTATTTCCTTCTCTTCCCTACCAGGCCCTCACTCATGCACTCAGAAGCCCGGTTCTCCCAAACTAAGGAAATTTCCTTCCACACCTTAGTAGATAATTCCACAAGTTTCAGTGACTGAATAAAAAAATCCATCACCTAGTATCTTATCAGTATAAATATGGCTGCTGTATCCCTGACAAAGGAATACACATTCTCCCTCCCCCTCTTCCTCCTTCTCTAACCCCCCCCTCAATCTGGTGACAGGGTAAAGAGACTATCCTCCTTTCCATTCAGTTTTAGCCATATTTCCTGGTCAGAGCATACCTGAAGTTCTCTGGGATCTACATTTCAGGTAAAGTAATGAGGAGAACAACCAAGATGAAGTGCCTTGAAATCATGCCATATTAAGATAAGCTGAAAAAAGGGAGGATTTTAACTGGAAAAGACCTAATGGAGACATTATAATTATCTTGAACTATCTAAAGGGGCACCATGCTTATAGATATAGATATAGATATAGATATATAGATATATAGATATATGCATTAGATTTCTTCTCTTCGGTTCTGAAGATCAGAAAAGGGTGAGTCTGGGCTTGATGAATGGAAAAATTTCCTAAGAATGAGAACTACCCAAAATCAGAGTGGGCTCCATCCTTTACTAGAGGTCTTGAAAGGTATGTTGGGTAAGGTATTCTTGTTCAGGTATGGGCTGAACTAGATTACCCCCTAAGATTCCTTCCAAGTCTGAGAATTCAGATGCTTGGAGACTCGGTACGGAAAAGAAATTTCAAAAATCCTGCTTGGCAAACTTGAATTTTATTGTTTTAAAAACACTTGATTTTATTACTAGATGTTTAAGACCCATATTACCAAAAATATTTCCAGGATAAGACAGTTAAGGAATGAGATTAAATTTTAATAGTTTTGATAATGGCACTATCCAATTTTCTAAGCTAGAAACCTTAGATTTTTTTCCTTCAATGAATCTATCATTAATTTTTAGTGCTTCTTCTCTTAGCCTCCTTTATCCATTCCTTCTTCTTCATTTCCCCTGCCATGATAATTCAAGCCCACATCACTTTGTACCTTTCTATCTATAACACTATTCTAGACAGTCTCCCTCCCTACTTTTTTTTCCAAGTACGCCTGTGATGCCTCTCTCAGAAGACAATGATTTCATCTGATCACTACTCTGTTCGATAACCTCTAACGAAAACCAAATTCTTTGGCTTGGCTCCATCCTACCTAACCATCTTTGTATTCTACTACTGAATATATACCCTTCCGATTAGTTAAGTGAGCCTCCTCACTTCCTTGCCGTCACCCCACTCCTGGCCCTCTGCTATAGATACATACTGTACTCTAGGAAAACACAATAGTTAAGTAAAATAATGTAACTTACTAATTTGCATCTGGGGTATTTTACCAAAAGGCATTACAATGGAATTATATGATGTTATGGTCAAGTTTAATATTATCTGAGTTCTCCCTTACTTATTTTGGTTTCTATACCTTTGCTTATGTCATTCCCCTTTCTTGCCTCTCTCCAACTACTATAAATGCTATTCGTCCTTCAAATAGCAGCCTCCTCACTTTCTTCATGAAATCTTTTCTGATTGCTCTATACTAACCTCTCACTCATTTTAACTTACGGTCCATAAAATTTGCTTTGGCATTTTTGTATCTCTTTGCTGGTGGCATTTCTAGAATATTTCTGAAGTGTCTCATCCTCTTACTATACTGCAAATTGTTCGAGGGCAGCCACTGTGTTTTATGGTTCTCTTGTTTTCTACATGAGACTTAATAGTATTGAGTAATAATAATTGCTCAATAAATAATGGTTAAATTTAAGTCAAATGATTGCAACAAAATTTCTGGTTGCGAATATCACATCAGGAAGAAAATGTTCCTGACAAGTTACTACTAGTCAGTTAAGTAAACATCTAAGGATAAATTTCCCACTTACTACATGATAGCTTATGATGGTTTGATTAGAAATATGGGTAGGATTCTAAAAGAATACTAAGAAAGAGCCAGGAGTTTGCATGGAAGTGTGAACCCTGACTCTCAAATATATGAAAATCCCACCTCTTCTTTAATCCCTCCCAATCTAAATTTCCTGTTTATAAATGAGAATAATGGTTTGTTCTAGGTTTGTGGCATAGCTTTGTTCTGGATCACATAGCAGAATCATTTAGAAACAACCAATAATCAAATCATTTGTCTAAATTAAAATCTGAAATTGATGGAACTCAACCAAGAATGACTAGATTCCTGTAAAATAAAATATACTTTGAATATACTTTACTATAAAAAGTAAAGTCATGGTATTATTTACAGCCAAATGTTATTTATCCTTGAGAACAACATACATACTAGTAAAAAGAGGGGAAAAAAGAGGAAATACTTCCAACAATGCTTTCATATATATTAGCAAGAAAAGAAATGCATTATTCTCCTCAGAAACTAAGGGCACTGATTTGTAGCTTAAGAAAATGGATTTCCTTTGGTTTCCTTTGGTTGAAGTGAGCCCAGTATGAATACTAAGAAAAAAGAAATTAATCTCAGGCTGCCCGTACAGCCTCACAGTCCAACAGGAAGGCCAGGAAAAATGGATTTATGTTTTTCTATAGGAAGAGAACCTAATGCATGCTTTCTTAGTCAATGGAGGCCTAGAAAACAGATCTAAGATAGACCCTGAATGAGGTCATCAGGTTGACTTATTGGTGTCTATTCTTTATGTGAGGAAAACTGCTAATCCCTTGATTAAAAGCTTTTGGAGCAGTCAGATGCTCCTTTTATAGTCCTTCCCCCAAAACTCCCTTCTGCCTTCCACATGACAGAAGACACGGTAGTCATCCAAGAAACACTTGTGAGGGTCAGTACAAGTAAGGGTTATTGCATTCCTTTTCTAACTATACATTTAGTGGATACTTTTTCTTTTCTTTTTCTTTTGAAAAAAATTTCTCTCTATCAGTTACGGAGAACAATTGTGGAATATGTCAATTTTCCCAGTACCTCATTATGTTTATAAAAAAAGGTAATAAAAACTAAGCTCTAATATAAAGTAACTACTGGCTATCCCCATCATGACATGACATATGTGAGTGACGTGGTGACAGGTCAAAGTGCACTTTGGCCCCCTTTCTTGGCCCTTTGCCCCATCTCATTTGTGTAGTCAAACTGGGCACAAGCCCAATAACGTCCTTTGCAAAAACAGGCAGTAATGGAAGGTCCTAAGCCCCTGGAGGACTGAATGCTTACAAACAGAAGGGAAAAAAACCAACATGCTTAGAGAAATGGTTTGGCAGAAGTCAGATTAGGGACAAATCCTTGATGTGCTGTCCACCTCCTCTGGACTTCACCGAATCCAGTATCTGTCCCTAAGCTTCTCATTAAGGCCACCAGCAGCACTAAAAGCAAGCCTGAACAATTTAATTCGCATTTCCATCTTTTCAGTGTTCTGGCATTCACATCCTCTTTGGCCTATGGAATAATTCACTAACTTAACTATGACACACTAATCAAAAAATTTGAAAAGCACAAGAGAAGCACAGAGGAGTAGCAGAAAGAACACAGACTCAGAAGCCCTAGGTGGGAGTCCAAGCTCAGCCACTTCCTCATCATAGGATTTTAGCTGAATTTTTTACCCTATCAGAGCCCCTGTTTGCCAATCTAAAAGTGGAGTCAACACTCACATTCCCAAACTCATAAAAGATTAGCAAGTTTCCAATGAGAAAATGCACTGTGAAAGTGCTTTGTAATCACAAGCAGACATAAGTCAATTGTTTCATTGTACCGTACTCTAGGAAAGAATATCAATCATGCATCAGCACAATGAATGACAGGCAAGAAATCTAAATTCCAGGCTTATCTCTGTCAAATGGACCAAAGAATAAAAAGTATTTAAACTAATTCAAACCCAGAAAGACTGAAGAATAAAACTGCTTTGTAAAATTTCCACTTTTAATACCTTTTCCTGCAATTAACTAACCTCATCATCAGAAGTGAACTGCAACCCTTTCAAAAAGTGGAGGGTAGCCCATTTCTGCTCGTCCTATTCTGAAAAATTACAGTAAGGTAGTTTTATTAAATCATTAGTGAGTTCATGCATATTACTTATCACCATATAGCCAACATGGACAGTGATATAATTGAAGAATACTGAACTTGGAGTCAACTAGCCTAACTATTTGAGTTTTACTTTTTACTCTTTACAGAGAGGGAAAAAAACATAAAATTAATAAATAGGAATATAAAACATCAATAAATACAACTAATCAAAAATATCCCTGAATAATTCTATTATTAGCTCTTCTCTTCCTGGAAGGAAATACTTATCTAAGGTAAAGATAGAGATGTTCAAGGATAAGAACAGGGAAAGTCAAGACTATTATTGCTACCACTTATATATTCCCACGTTATGCCATCAAAGCCATTGCCAGTTTTCAACTGTGATCTGAGAACGCCATGCAGGATGGCGGGACCTGAGCTGTATCTTATCACTGGACACTCAAATACATGAATAAAAATCTGTTGTTGTGGGGGTTTTTTCCTATAAACAACAACAAAACAAACCTATTTTTTGTACCCTCCTCTCTCTTCTCCTTTAACTGAGAAAAAAGAAAAACAAAATACTTTTAACAAACATGCACAGTCAAGCAAAACAAATTCCTGCACTAGCCATGCAAATCTGATGCTTTTACTAACAGAACCCTGACAGTTTTAGAAAACTTGGAGTATGCAAGAGGAAATCAAAGTGAAGGGTGGAATAAAAGTTCCCTCACTCTCCATGAAGTAAGAATTGCATTTTCAATTTTTGTTCAGGGTAAAAGCCTAAAAATGGCAAACAAATGAAAAAGGAGGAACATAAGACTCGGCTAAGAAATGGATTCACTACAATTCCTTACCGGAGATCCAATCCAGCCTCTTTCCAAAGTAAATCCATCAACCGCAACATTTGGAGAGTCAACATATCTTGCCGTAGATCTAAAAGAAAAGATTGCTTTATTTTTGCTTTTGGTTTACTGTGCTTAATAATCATTAGTGTGGCAGCAAAATGTGTCTGAAAATAGGGAAAAGAATTGAACATTTACAAAAGATCATGGTAATATTACAAAATACAAATGTTATATAACATATTAGTTTGTGCTGCATCTGCCACTTCTTGGCTTTGTGACACCAGGCAACTTAATACCCTCTCTTAGAAGTTGTAAAATTAAGAAACTATATGTAAGATTATATATAAATTATATGCAAGAAATTATATGTAAGGTTTCTATTTCTATTATAATACAATTCCAAAAATAACTAGTTAGTTGGCAGGCCCTCATGTGTCTTTCTATCATAATGCCATTTGAGATCATTTAATTATTAAGAATTTACTGAGCACCAACTATTTGAGAGGTATTAGTATTACTTTTTAATCCAATGTATAATGTCATTTTTTTCTCTGCAGGCTTGCTTTAAGACCTGAACCTGAAGGTATTAAAAGCCATGTTTCACATTGGGGTTGAGCTTTAGCTGTTCTTGTATTAGCTACTTTTTGTTTCTCAATCTGCCAAAAAAAATAATGCTGAGAGAATGCAGATAAACGCAGTTGCATATTCAAACTAAGGTTTCCAAGGTAACAGGTAAACATCCTAAACATCCTTTGTTAGTGTGACTGTCTTAGAAGTTCTTACTTAAAAAAAAAATCTATGTTTAAAAATGTAATAAAAAGCCCATCATATAAGAACCCCTCCCCCCTCCCCCCTCCCCAAAATCCCTCCATCTTGTTTCATTCCACAAATACCTGAATAGACATTTAAATCATCTGCCAAAATATAGCAACAGGCAATAACCACAAACCTGAAGGAACTAAAAAAATAGAACTTACCATCCCCATTTTTGAAAATGATACCCACTGGATCTCCTCCAAATACTTTGTTGTTGTATACTATTCTCAGAGGCTTCATTTTAGAATCCATGTACTTGCACTTCTCAACACTAATAAAAGAGAAATATCATTAGGAAAATTCAACTTTAAAGAAATAATAAGATCATTTTGTATGAGTTATTGGGTTCAAATAGCCCAAGCAACTGTTCACTCTGAGTGAGCAGGAAATTGGAGCTCAAGACATAGAGAAAGAGCATTCCACCTCAGCAACAAAGCTTCTACAAGAACAGACATGGTTGCAGGAATGCAGCATTAAGCCAATGACATGGACTCACAAAATACAAAGATTTTCATAACACTATTCTCAATTGCTTCATATTGGGAGCACTTTTCATGTCTGGACTGGATCAAACTGAAATTTGAGATACTTTATTTTGTACTGTTTTCACCTTTCATTCCAATAATCCCTCAGAGTTCCTTCCATTTTTTTCATGACTCAATTATCTTTCTGTATTGTCATCAATCTGTATTATATTGAATGGCATCAAAATCAGGAGAAAATATTCGTTAGCTTCAAAACAGTCTTGTCACAAAGATATTCTGACTTCTTGAGGAAGAAAGGTCCAATTAGGGATTTAGATATCCCACAGAGCATACATCATAATTTATTTACATGTAAATAAATGGAATTGACCATTTTTTAAAATATCACTTTCCTAAAGCCATAAGTATATTTTATCTGAATTTAAATGTTGACCATTCCACACTAAATAATAGTCCATTTATATTTTAAATCTAGCTTAAGAACACGACCTTAGATTCTAGAAATACCTTTAGCTGGCAAAACTCAGATTTAAAGAAATGGTTGATTTTATGCCATTTTAACTACGTCCTCAGAATCAGCTGACAAAGGTCTACTAAGTTAAAAGACCACTATCAATATTTACAGCAAAAGTTGGTGGTTCTTAACCTTTTTTTGTGTATTAAGGGCTCCTTTGGAAGTCTAATGCAACCTATAAAACCCTCATGAGTATAATATTTTTAAAGTCTTAAAATCAAATATATATGATTAGAAAGGAAAAAATATATTGAAAATAGTTATACAAATATTAGAAAGAAAACCAAGTTCATGGACATAGGTTAAGAATCTGTGATCTGTATGACCCATTTTCTATTTAAAAGGAGAGCAATACATTACTTACTAAAGTTCTGAGAGTATGACACAAGGATTCAAAGGTGACGGAAGATCAGAAAGGGCTTCTCGGTAAGCATTTTGTTTTAAGCATGTGTGCATTGCCTCTCTTCCTTTTGCTTTGTTTAATTTTACTGCGTTCAATTTTATTAAACTATTTAAGGTCTTCAGCTTATTTAGAGCTTCAACCTGAAACATAAGTTTCAAGAAATTAATCACTAGGAAAAGGAAAAAAGAAAAATGTTTGATGTGATCATCATATTAATATTTTACCTCCTTTCTCTCCTTCCTCCAAAATTAAAAAACCTTGCAAAATAATTTAGGAAGAATATTTTTAAAAGAACAGAGGTGAAGCCAAAATGGCAAAGTATCAAGAAGTACAGGGGAGTCTCTACCAACACTCCTCCAAAAATATTTAGAAAATGTACCAGACTGAATCCTGATTGAAAATCCAAGAAAAAAATCATAGTCAAGTTCCTAATCTAAATCTACATAGGGAGATAAAGAGAGAAGTTTGGGATACTTAGGACAGGGTCTAGACAAGAACACAGCACACAAAGCACTCCAAGGCCCATACCCAAGAGCAAGATGAAAAACCAGATCTGTAAGGTGAGACCTTGTGCAGATTCTGGAACAAGTGCCAAATAGCAGCTTTCTTATTCACTACTTAGTTCTGGGTTACAGATCCAGTGAGGAATGGATACACATTGCAGGGTGGCATTCCGGGATAAGGAGCTGTCACGGGCTTTAGGCTCTATACCAAACAAGGAGAAAGTTCAGAAACAAGCAGTGAGAGTATAGCTCAAATCCCAGGAGTGGAATGAAGTTTCAGTTCCAGGTTCTAGACCAATCTGAAGCCAAAAGAAGAAAGCAGGTGGCTGATGGGGGCTGAAAGGACCCCAACACAGGTCAGGAACTTCAAGAGCTCAGTCCAGGAGGCAGTGATCAGACTTTGTCCTGGGTCTGGCCATTTTGGGGTCACAAAAATTTTCAGGTCTCCAGTCTGAGCCATTTTTGAAATCATGAATAACAAAACACCCAATACCACAAGAAATCAGCAACAGGATTGACCCCAACCTCTGCTCCAGAAATATGCAAAGCTAACCTAACAAAGTGCTTACAACACTCACTGTCAGCAGCAGCAGCATCAACAACATTTAAATGGCACTTAGTGCCAAGTCAGAAAGCAAGCTTGAAAATGGGCAAAAAACAGCAACAAAAGAATTCCATCATAAATGAGCTATTATAGTGACAGAGAAAACAAAAACACAAAAGAAAAGAATGACTCCAAAACATATACAAGCAAACTCTAAAAGAAAAACACAGTGTGGATACAAATTCAACTTGACTTCCTGTTAAGAGACTTAGTAAAAAATTTTAAAAGTTAATTTTTTTTAAAATAAAGAAGTGAGAGCTAGAGGAAAAAACTGCAAAAGAAATGAGAACTATACAATACAGTGTTATGATCAACTCTGATAGACTTAGCTGTTCTCAGCAATACAATGATCTTAGATAATTCTAAAAGACCCAAGATGCAATCCACATCCAGAAAAAAACACTATGGAGCCTGAATGCATATTGAAGCATACTATTTTCACTTTTTTTGTTTTTTCTTTCTCATGATTTTTCCCTTTTCTTCTGATTCTTCTTTTCACAACATGACTAATATGGAAATATGTTTAATATGATTGTAGATGTATAACCTATATATATCAGATTACGTGCTGTCTTGGGGAGGGGGAAGAGAAGGAGAAAAAAACTTGGAACTCACAATCTTATAAAAGTGAATGTTGAAAACTACCTTTACATGTAATTTTTTTAAAAAAATACTATTAAGTGGGGGGAAAAAAATGAGAGCCATGGAAAAAAAATTAGAAAGGGATAATGGACCAAAAAGAAGACAATGATTCCATGAGGCAACAAAAAAAAAATTAAAACCAAGTCAAAACACTAAAAAACAAACAAACAAAAAAACCCCCTCCAAAGTGTAAAGGTATCTATGTCATAACAAAAAAAAATAATCTTGAAAACAGATTAAAGAGAAAAAAAGATTAAGAATCATTAGATTATCTGAAAGTCATGACCCCCCCAAAAAAACCCACAAATATATTTCAAGAAATCTTAAGATAAAACTGCCCAAATCTTAGAATGAGAGGGGAAAATGGGAATACAAAGAATCCACTGGTCAGCTCCTGAAAAAAATCTCAGAATGAAAACTCCCAGAAATATAATCAAATTAAAAATACACTCATGATAACACACAATTTAGCTTCTACCACAAAAAAGGAGCAGGGAGGTTGGAATATGATATTTCAGTAGGCAAAGGATACAGAGGCTTAAAGCCAAGAATAACTTACTAGCAAAAACGAGTATAATCCTACAGGGGAAAAAATGGATCTTTAATGAAATAAAGAACTGCCAAGCATTCCTGATGAAAAGAGCTGAGCTTCATTCAAACATAAGACAAACATACAAACGTAAATAGGAGGGGCAGCTAGTGGCACAGTGGATAGAGCACTGGCCCTAGAGTCAGGAGGACCTGAGTTCAAGTCTGGCCTCAGACACATAACACTCACTAGCTATGTGACTCAGGGCAAGTCACATAACCTCAATTGCCTCACCAAAACAAAAAAGTAAACAGGAAAGGACAATCATAAAGGATAAACTACTTACATTCTAATATGGGAAAATGACAAATGTGTTCCATCTGAACCCCATCATCATTAGGGGTCATAAGGGCAGTCTAACTAGGAAGACATGGGAATGATTCATTCTGCTATGTCTTGATCTTAAAAGAAGAATGGAGAGGGAGGGGAAGAGAATACTTTGCAGAGCTAGAGGAAAATGAAGGTTAGGGAAAATTCTCACATATTCAGGAAGCACAAGTAGACATCTATAAAAATAAGGAGGAAAAAGTGGGTGGAGTGGTTAACTTTTGAACTTACTTTCATCTGAACTGGTCAGAAGAGGGAAAAGACTCAGAGTTGGATATAGAAATACACTTCATTTAACAGAGCGATAGGAAGGAAAGGGGAGGAAGAGGAGGAGGAATTAGAGGAAGAGTAGATAAAAGCAGGGATTAGTCCTAAGAAAAACAAACTAAGGATGTGCAAAAATACAGCTCTTTTTGGGCTAGCAAAGAATTGCAATTTGAGGGGTATTTATCATTTAGGGTAATGGTTGAACAAGTTATGGTATTAAAACGTGATGGAACAAAACTGTGCTGTGAGAAATGAAAGAAATTTTACTTAAAAGCATAAGCCTAGCACATGAGTATTTTCCATCTTCAATCATCTTTAAAAATCTTCAGAGTCTAACTTAGGCAAAGAAGGCATCTAGGGAAAAAGTTGCTGTTAATAATAAGTTATTATTACTGATAATAATGATAGCATTTACATAGCAACTTAATTTTGCAAAGTACTTTACAAATATCATCTCATAAGATCCTCATAACCCTAGGAAGTATTATGTCATTCTCACCTTATAGATGAGGAAACAGGCTGAGAGAGGTCAAGTGACTTGCCCAAATGGCTGAAATCAAATTCAAACTTGGGTCTTCCAAATTCTAGGTCTAACTGCTTTATCCACTGTGCCTCCTAGCTGCCCCAGATCACTAACTTATTCAATAAGATGGGCCACAAGCAATAAAGAATACGTTGTGTCAGATGTTGGGGTAATCACTGCCAAGGAGTAGACTACCTTATTAGGGTAGATGGGCATACAGACATATAAATACAAGCCAGAATAAGTATGAGGAATAATTCTTGCTACCATGCCACGATTTCAGATGAAGGAGAGAGAATTTTCAGCCAGGAGATAAAGATCAAGTGAAAGCTTCATGGAGGAGGCAGTATTTGATTGACTGATTTATGAAAATCACGTAAAGATAGAGTGGTTTGGGAGGTTGGAGATAACTATACAAAGCCATGGCAGGGAAAAAAATAATGGGATTTGCTAAAAGATGGAGGGCAATACAGTTTGGCTACCAAAGATGGTGTCTTTGTGGAATGATATAAAGTAAAGACTGATGAGGTAGGTTGCAAACTGATTGCGTAGGGTTTTGTATACTGGGTTAAGAAGTTTACACTTTATTCTGAAGGCTACTGAAAGTTCTAAAGCTTTTAGGATGGTGGAGAGTACCTGTGATATCATCAGGCTTGTGTAGATGGAACAGCTTGGATCTAATAGAGGGAGCATCAAAGATAAGAAGTTTATTAGGAAGTTATTGTAATTGGGGCCTGTGGAAACACAGGCTTGAATTAGCATGATGGTATCTGGAATAATATAAAACGGACAGGTGCAAGAGTACTACTCTATGGCAGAGACCGAAGTCCATATTGGAAACTGACCTTCACAACCAAGGTGTAATAGTTAACAAATTTTCTGTGTTCTGACCTTATCTGGTTCCAAAGTATGGGTCTGAACTGAGGTGTACAAGAAAGAAGGTGAAAGAAACAGAACACAAGGTATCTGGATCAGGGAAATGTTATGTCACTAAAAATATATCCTGGCAAACTGTCACTGTAAGGAATTCTCAAAAAGAAGGTCTCAATATTTCCACACATTTTGAATTAATTCTGATGTAGAGATTCTGAAAGGTTAAAGCAATTAACTGCAATACTTGATGGTTACTTTTCATAGTCAACCTTTAAAAATAACTGACAATTTTTTTTAATCACTGCTTTGATGCCAGTTTCAATCTAACATTATATAGTCAAAGTCTGTGATTGAGAAACATTTTAGAATGTGTGGATTCAGGATAAACTTGATGGTTTTAAGGATAAAAGTCTGACCACCATGCAAGTCAAAATCTTGTACTGTTTTTTTTTCTTTTTGGACACAGCAAAGCAACAATGTAGTTAAGAATCAAATGATGATAAAATCTTGCAGATAAAGACTGGTTTGTGTATTGATCAACCTCAAAGAGGTTAATCTTCCTCCCTGCTTGTTTCTGCCTCCTTCCTGTTTATGCCAATGCCCTCAGGGGAAATGCCCAGCTTTCCCCCTTGCTGCCTACTAAAATGCTGTTTATCTCTGAAAGCTTACATTTGATACTTCATTCCTTCCCCTGACCAACTACACAGAAATACACAATCTTATTTTGCAATGAATTTGTACATATTTGTACACATTTACAGGAATTTAATGTCTACTCTTGTAGTCTAAATTATATGATGAACTTTCTGCAG